ATCGTAAGGGTTTTAAGCTGGAACTGTCGGGGGCTTGGGAACCCTTCGACAGTTCGGGAGCTACGAATAATTATCTCCAAAAAGGACCCAATGCTCACCTTTATTTCGGAAACAAAGATTAGTAAAAATAAAGTTGAGTTTATACGACTTGCAATGCAGATGCTCGGTTGTTTTTCTGTGGACAGAGCAGAAGACTGTGTTAGGTTGATGTTGATTTAGAAGGAATGAGAGGTTTTATGGTCGTAACGCGTGGACTGCTAAGAATAAGTAGGAGATGATTTCACACATGTCCTCCATCTCCTCACTCCCATGGTGTATGAGAGGAGATTTCAATGAGATTATTCATCTATTTTAAAAGAAATGATGTCGAAGACGGGTGAGGGTGCAGATGGAGGATTTCCAAAGGTATCTACGAGATGCTGACCTGTGGGACATTCGACCCAAGATTGGTTGGTTTTCATGGGTGAGTGGAACTCGGGCGCATTTCTTTATGCAAGAGCGTATTAATCGGTTTGTGGCCAAGAATGATTGACGACTTATGTTTCCCAGTTGTTCAGTGTCCATGATCCCGATCGCTTCATCAGACCACTGTGCTCTTTTGCCTGGAGAGTGGTTCTCCAAACCGACCTCACAGGGATGATTATTTTAAATTCGACGCGTGCTGGGCGAGTAAGGAACAGTGTTGAAACATTGTTCGTGAGATTTTGGAGAACAAAGAGGATTTCTTTTCTAGTAAAGTTAAGAAGGTGGGTGACAGACTTGACAAATGACAAATGGTGCGAAGAAGGCAAGCAAAGCATGATGAGAGGCGTCTCAGAGACTGAATCCTCCATCTTGATTCGGCTCAGATTTTGGATGGTGTCTGTGAGCAACGAAGCAAGGCCTTGGTGAAGCTTAAGGACCTTATGGATAAAGAAGAGGCATATTGGCATCAGAGGTCGTGGGTAGCGTGGCTGAAAGATGGAGACCGGAACTCAAACTTCTTTCATGTAAGAGCGAATGGTCGATGGAAAAAGAATTAGGTTGAGGGGTTGGAGAGTGAGGAGGGTTTGGTGTGATCAGATGGAAGACATTTTTGATGTCGCTACAAGCTACTTCACCTCTCTCTTTCGGTCTTTAGGTGCGGCACCCGATGAGGAGATCTTGTGAGCCATTGATTGTTGCGTGATGCTGATGGATAATGAGATGCTCTACCGCAACTTCACCACCAAGGAAGTCACCTAAGCTTTTTCTCAGGTCAACCCTTCGAAAGCACCAAGTTATGATGGTCTACCCGGTCAATTTTTCCGCTGTTTTTGGGATGTTATTGGTTGTGATTTTGTTGAACTCTGTTTAAGTCCGTTGAATGGTTCATCAAACTTTGATTTTATTAACCGAACTATAATTGTGCTAGTTCCCAAAGTAACCAGTCTAATGTCAATGAAAAATTTTAGACCGATAAGCCTTTGCTTGGTCATTTATAAGGTTATGTCCAAATCTATTGTTAATCAGTTAAAGCCTTTTATGCCTATTTGCGTTGCGAAAAACCAATGTATGTTTGTCTCCGGTAGGCGCATTTCAGATAACTTTTTAGTTGCACATGAGTTTATCCATTACCTAAAGGGCTAAAAAAATGGCCCTAATAAGGGGGCGACTATTAAGTTAGATATGGAAAAAGCATATGATAGAGTTGAATGGGATTTCGTTCTTAATGTTATGCTTCGTATGAGATTTAATGTTTCTTTTGTTAATCTCATACGTAAGTGCATTAGCACTGTTTCCTTTCAAGTTCGTATTAATGGTGCATCGTCAGATCCTTTCACTCCACAAAGGGGGCTCCGACAAGGGGACCTGTTGTCCCCGTATTTGTTTCTTTTTTGCGCACAAGGACTTTCAACATTGCTTCTTGCAGCTCAAAGGATGAATGATCTTAAGGGCATTCGTGCTAGCCTTCGAGGACCGAGGATCTCACACCTACTTTATGTCGAAGATAGTATCATGTTTGTGAAGAATTCGATCGATGAGGTGAAAAGAATAAAGAGTATTTTGACCCAATATGAAAAGGCCTTAGGGCAGAAGGTGAACTTTGAGAAGTCCAGCATCTTTTTAGCCCTAATACACTCGTTCCAGAGCGATTGATCTTCTTGAATGAGCTGGGAGTTGTGGAGTCTCTTGATCCAGGGAACTATCTTGGGTTACCTCTTGTTGTGGGAAAAAGTGGCAAACGAGCGGCATTCAGCTTTATTAAAGACAAGACGGTGAAGAGAATTCAAGGTTGGACAAAACGACTCCTTTCTTTTGGAGGTCGAGAGGTTTTCATCAAATCGATTGTTCAAGCGCTTCATGCTTATGCTATGTCTTGTTACCTGCTTCCGGAAGGGGTTATTGAGGATATCAAGTCTCAAGCGAGGTCTTATTGGTGGTCAAAAAAGTAGAATACTAAAAGATGAGCTATGATTGCTTGGGAAAAGGTGTGCCGATCTAAAAAATTTGGTGGGATGGGTTTCAGGGATCTTAAATTGTTTAATATTACCCTCCTAGGCAATCAGGTGTGGAGACTCATTCACGACGAGGAGTCATTGGCCTTTAAGGTACTTAAAGCTAAATACTTAACATGCACGAATTTTCTCAATGCAAAACTTGGGGATAGGCATTCTTATGCATGGACAAGTATTATGAAGGCCAAGGATACACTTAAGGAGGGATTTTTCTGGAGGGTGGGGATTGAAAGCAAGGCTAGAATGTTCTCGGATAATTGGGGGGATTCTGGACCAATTTGGTGGAATGAGAGGTACTTGGACAGTGCAGACCAACCAATAAGGGTGGCAGATTTCTTAATTCCAGGTTGCACCAGATGGGACGAGCTCAAAGTAAGAAGAGTACTTTCCAGTGAAAATGCATCAGAGGTTCTCAACACGTTGATTGCACCGGTTCATGGTGATAAAATATTATGGTGCCATCATAGTTCGAGTTCTTACTCTGCTAAGTCGGGCTACAATTGGCTAAAAATTCAGAACAACCCAACTTTAATTGCGGAAGGCATTTGGAATGCAGTAGATAAGGCAAATGTTCTTTCAAAGATAAGAATTTTCGGATGGAGGCTTTGCCTAGAAGCTATTCCAATGGGGACAAAACTAAAGCAAGCTAATCTTGGGGAAGGTCTTTGCCAACTTTGTAATATGGAGCTTGAGTCGGCATTGCACACGATTAAAGACTGCCCCAAATCGAAGATGATTCTTTTGATGTCGGGCCTTTCTCAAGAGCTTGTTGATTGGGAAGGACACTCTTGCCTCCAATGGATCACGCGGGTTCAATCCAAGTTAAATTACGAAGGGTTTGATTTGTTCCTCTCATTGTTATGGAATATTTGGAACCGTAGAAATAAGTGGATTCATGATGCGGAGCTTCAATCGGACAGAGACACTATTTCTAAAGCCTGGAACCTTATTGGAGAGTTTAAGCAGGTCTCTAACCCTCTTCGCTGCTCAACTGGTGGAAACCTTTCCCATAGACTTCGAAAGTGGAGCAAGCCAATGCGGGGACTGATCAAGATTAATGTGGATGCAGCGTTTAGTAAGGAATCACACTTAGCCGCCGTTGGAGTTGTGGCCAGAGACGCACATGGTATGGTCTTTGGGGGATTGCTAATAAAGATTGATCCTCCCTTTACAGCCGAATCATCTGAAGCTACGGCTTTCTCTCAAGGTATTCGCTTTGCTACTGAGAATGGGTGGAATAATGTTATTATTGAGGGCGATGCCATTTCGATTGTGTACAAGTTGTCTAACCAGACCCAGAACAAGACCCAGGACATCTCTACAGTTGGATTGTTGCTCAATGAGGCTAGATCGCTTCTTCATGCCTACCCGTCTTTCAAAGTGCACTATGTTTGTAAGGAAGGAAATAGAGTTGCCCACATGTTAGCACAATGAGCCTTATCGAACCATAATCCAGTCTGTTTTTTCCTGGATGAACCTGATTGTATTAAACAACTTGTCATTGATAATGCTATTAGAATATAAGTAATTCTTCCTTAAAAAAAAGAGGTCCAAGGCACAAGTTGCTTTGATCATCTCTGGATCGGAAGGTTGTTGAAGGAATTATAAGCCACGTTCAACATCAAAAAGTGATGCAGAAAAATACTCTCACAACCCCCACCCGATACAACACATGGACATTATTTGCAATAATCACTATATTGAAAAAAGTAGCCGTGGATGACACATTGAAGAAAATGAGGGTTATAGTTTGGAGATATATTATTAATTCGTAATGTTGTTGCATGAGATGACTATTTAAGTTTTGTTGTCCTTTTTATTTTTATTTAATTTTTGACTTATATCTAAATAATTATATTCAGTGTTTTAATTTTATTCTTTTTACATATCATTTAAGAGTTTGTTTTTGTCTGCTTCTATGACATATTTATTCCTTGGATTTTATGACACAATTTTTTCTATCATTGTAGTAGTTTGACATTTCATGTTACATTTATCACAATACATCTTCTGATCAAGAAATGTCGACGATGTTTCATAATTAGATCTCATTTTGACTTATATCTAAATAATTATATTCAGTGTTTTAATTTTATTCTTTTTACATATCATTTAAGAGTTTGTTTTTGTCTGCTTCTATTACATATTTATTCCTTTGATTTTATGACACAATTTTTTCTATCATTATAGTAGTTTGACGTTTCATGTTACATTTATCACAATACATTTTCTGATCAAGAAATGTCGACGATGTTTCATAATTGGATCTCATTTTGCAATAGTTTATCGACGCATTTAGAACCGTTCCCAGAATAATCTATCAAAATGATATTTTCGATCTTCATGCCTACTTCAATATTGTATTTAGGTTCAACTAGAATCAGTGAGATTATTCCATAAAATCAAAATGAAAAATATGATAAAAATTTAGAGGCTGTAATGATTAAACAACTAAAGTTTAGGGGTCGCCTAGAAGAAATTGAAGCGAATAACGTTCTTTGGGATAAACCCTGGAATTGGGATTACACAAACCGGTTCTCATCTTATTCCAGCCGCAAAGCAATCGTAACCCTAAGTTGGAAAACCTTATCCCTAAACCTGCAGACACCCCAGATTATTTCCCTACGTTGTTCCACAATTCCAGTCCAAGGTATATATTTTCCACTAATCCAATTCTCATTTGATTTTGTTCATGTCCAAATGTTCATATCGACTCATAATTCTTGCATTTCTACGTTTGATTTTACATAGTTGAAGAATGGGTATCCGTGGCAAAGGCAGTTTGGATCGTTTAAGAACGATATGGACACCCGAAATGGACCGATATTTCATCGACCTAATGCTGGAACAGCTCAACAAGGGCAATAGATTCGATGACCATGTGTTCAGCAAAACGGCATGGGTGAACATGAACTCATCGTTCAACGAGAAATTCAAGTTCGATTACGAAATGGATGTGCTGAAGAACCGGCACAAAACGCTGAGGAATGTGTACAAAGCTGTTAAGAATCTGCTGAATCAGAAGGGTTTTAGCTGGGATGCTACTCGACAAATGGTGGTCGCTGAGAGTAAAATCTGGGATGAATATGTCAAGGTTCAATTCTTTAATTATTTGATTATTTTTTTTGAAGGATTTATAACATTTTAGAGTCTTATTTGTTGATTTACAGGTAAACCCAGATGTTCGTCCTTACAGACTGAAAAGTCTTCCATACTATGATGATCTTTGTGTTATATATGGAGATAATTTAGCTGGGAAAATGGGTAAATAATTCTATCCTTGATACTACTAATTCTAAGTTATTGGTCTGCTATTCCGACTTAGAGGCGAGTGTCGGGTAGGAACGGACCTAAAATTTTATGTCGGATGAATTATAAAATTTTAGGAGACAAATTAGATCATCAATAGAAAATATAAAGAAAAAATTGTTGGGTATACATATATATGTTTGCGAGCTCAATTGGAAAGAGGGTAATATTTTTAGTCCGGTTTCAAATTGAGAGATGAGTTTGTTTATTAATATTTTGTGTGTTATATATGGAGGAGGTGTGTCGGATACGTACAAGGAACAAAGTATGCTCCATCTTCAAAGATTTTGCATGTATTTGGAGGACGATATACCATATTTATGTCCGAATGCGTCAAATACATATATTTAATGCAGATACTTTAGCAAAAAAGAGTGTTTGCAACCGAAGTTTCATATATTTTGTTACCAGGTTATAGTGTGCCGGAGACATCATCACACTTGGGTGAGGACAAAGAAGGATCAGCCGCTCGATTAGAATGTGGTGATGATGGAACCGTGGAGGCTGTTCATGAAATTGTATTGGGTGAAGAATGTGTTTCCGTTCCCCTAGAAGTGATGGATGCATCGGAGAGTACGCCAATTGCAACAGCAAACCCACCTTATGGTCGTAATAGGATGTACTGGCAACCACCGATGGACCGGTTTTTCATTGATCTTATGCTTGAGCAAGTGCACAATGGGAACCAGATTGATGGTGTATTTTGCAAGCAGGCATGGATAGAGATGATTGCTTCATTTAATGCGAAATTCGGTTCTAACTATGACATGGACATACTAAAGAATCGCCTTAAAACTCTAAGAAGGCAATATAATGTTATCAAGAATATTCTTCAACTGGATGGATTTGCCTGGGATGATGAACGTCAAATGGTGACTGCTGATGATAGTGTATGGCAAGACTACATCAAGGTATGTAATTATGTGTAAATCTCGAACTACAGTCAATGCTCTTATAATCTAGGCCATATTATACCTGAAGCTTACATACTCTACTTGGAAGCGACGTAGAATCTGTGTACCTTAGGACTTGGAGACGATATATGCCATCAAGTATTAATGGCATTGTTTTATTTGTTTAGAGCTATGTTACAGTTAATCGGTGTGAATGTTCGGATACTGGTATGTATCTGACATGGAAATGTTCAAAATTTTCAATGTATTTGGAGGATCATATTCTGAACTTAATGTAGTGAAATGATGTTACAAGGAAGATGATATTGTTGTCATTTCATTTTGTTTATTGATTAATTTGGTACTATTAAATGTCCTTTACGGCTTGTAATGGAGAGGCTTTTGATGCATATCACTACATGCAGGGGCATAAGGATGCACGACAATTCATGACCCGACCGGTGCCGTACTATAAAGACCTGTGTTTGATATGCAGTTCCCCTGATAACAGTGATTGCTTTGCCCTCCAATGTTCCGAACCAGAAAACGTGGATCGAGAAGTGAAGCCACTGCAGGCACCTAAGTTTTCTCAGTCTCCTGTAGCATCTGTTTCGAGTGAAGGTGAAATCGGTTACTTGCTGGAGCCAGCATGTCTGGATTCAAACACAACCGGGTCTAACCATAACTACAAACGCCAACTAGAAAACAAGTCGAGTTCTGTACATTCAAAGAAATTACGAAGCGAATATGACAGTATGGCCAGTGTGCTTCGAGAGATGGCAAGTGCTGTTTCTTCTTTAACGGAGAAGAAGGATGACGGGAACTCAAACCCCATCTCAATAGAGAGTGTAGTTACAGCAGTACAGGCGTTACCGGACATGGATGAAGACTTTATACTGGATGCATGCGACTTCCTGGAAGATGAAATAAAAGCAAAAACTTTTATGGCACTGGATGTCAAACTGCGGAAGAAGTGGCTGTTGAGGAAGCTCTGTCCTCCTCAGTGAGTTTAATGGAGTCTAGTCGATTGTACTTCTATTCTTTAGCAGAGATTAGGCACAGAGTTATACACAGAAGCATATGCAGATGGTAGAGAAATTCTGAAAATTTTCTAGGATGTCTGTACATACATAGAAACAAGGTTATAGTTTTGAGACATATTTTGTGGGACAAATGTGTCTTATATCAAATCAAAGACATCTTCCTCATCTCCTCTGATGAAGGCAGCAGGCACCTGATCACCTCGGTCAATGACGATCTCATCCGGCACTCCAATGGCGGTTCGTGCCGGTCTTTCTGCAACTCAGAGAGATATGAGGTGGTAATCTGGATTGGGCTTTGCAAAGGCCTATTACGAGGAAACTCTCCAAATTCAGTCATTCGTAAACATTAAAATTTAAATTATTAAATTTAATGTCTTATCCTATTAAATCAATCTGGTTTATTTGATGATCCTTCTCAATAGGTTACTCATTTTATATTAAATATCCGGCTATCCACCAACTCAAATATATTACTATTCAATAAGAACTGTTATTGAAATTTTATGATATAATATTAGTAGAAAATTATTTTAATATATTTGAAATTAAAGAGATTTTCAGCTAAACTGAACATTATTTTATTATTCTTGTTTGTTTTTAATCCCAGCACGATGTAACACGCTTTAAACATAATTTATGCTTAATTATACTAATTAATTTTTTAAAACAAGCATAGGCATGCTTCCACTATCAATTAATTGTGGCCCCAAATTAATTAGGTAAGCAAATTTGACACTTGATTTACAATTTGACACTTGAATTTTATTCTTTTTCATTTTAGTACTTTTCTTGTTTCAGTTTTATATCCAAACTATACTGTCGTCTTAATTTATCAAAAAATTGTTAATCATAATGTATTTGTATCATGTTTTTATTGGATATTCGTAATATTTAATAAAATAATAAGAAAAATGATAATTTACATATCAAAATGTAATTTTTAATATAATTTCCATAATCTAAGAAAAAATATAACAAGATTCTAAATTAATTACCCTCAAATTTGTTTCACCGTTGACAAATAATTGCAGAGCAAAGCTTCCTTGCCTCACGAGGCAGCAGCTGACCTTGCACCATCGCCAATGATTTATAGACATCGACAATCATTTTGTCGTCGTATTCTTTCACCGGACGCTTCCCAAAGGTAGCAATGTTCCAACCACCACCACCACCACCACCAATGTCTCCTCCGTAGGCGGTGTTAACCACCACCCCGGAATTGTCTAATCCCTGCATCATTTTCACATAGGCATCTCGTAACCAAACAAACAACTTCTTGGGGGAAGGCAGTATTCTCAGCTTCGCCTTGACCCTCATCCTCCACAACCTCCTCCTCCTCCGCCGGGTGGAACCAAGGTTCACCACCCTGCTCCGTCGTGCACCTGTGGAACTGTTGAGCTTGACGTAGCCTTTCCGCTTCCAGTAGCCTCTCAAATTCTTGTACACAGTTACAGAAATGCCTTCCATTAATACTTTTGGCTTCTTCCTGATGGAGCCTTTCCTGATTTGTTCTTGTTTCTGCAAGAGAAAGAAACGAAGGTAGGTGGTTGGGAGATTGATGGCACGTATCTTATAATACATAGTATCATTTAATAATAATATTATTATAATTATTATATACAAGTTTGTTAAAGAAATGAAATTAGTAACCACCATGAATTAGGGTTTGAGCTGTGTGTCATCCATTTGTTTTTTTTCCTAATTTTAAAATAAATTTTAAATATATATTTAAAAATAAAAAAATAGTAAAAGTATTGTTATATCCAAAGATATTCTTTAGAAACTACATCAAATATTTGCCAATAAAGATTCATGGAGATATCACATCATCTCCGGAACTATCTTATGTCGTGAGCGTTCTTTCGAGTCCATGTTTGTGTATCTTTAACATGACCTTTGACATAGTCAAACCAGATAGTTGATCATTGTATCTGTGCAGTCTGCCAACCTATCAATAGGCCTACATAATGACGTTAGACTTGACACTAGTCACCATATATTCATGATATTTATATCTCAAGCAAAGGATGAGAAGTGGTCTCTCTCTCAGCTCTCTTATCTATGATAATCATCTTTTCTCTCACACAATCTTTCTCTTCTTTTCTCTCACATAAAAGCACCGATCAATAACCGTTCTCTCACCGACTGTAGCTCTTTGCTTAAACTAGAATGTATGAACTTTCAACGACCAAAGAGACTAATTTATTCCATCAACATGTCTCTTTTTTCTCCATCGAAAAAAAAGTTGATTATCGTGATCCTCCACTCTCTAATTTTTGTTTAACAAAATAATAATAATATAATTGTCTTCTCTTTCATTTTTTTCTCATTTTTTTTCGATCTTCGATTTTTATTTTTAATAAATTCTAGACTCTAAACCTTAAATTTTATTATGACATCTTTAACATTTAAAAAAAAAGCTAAAAAAGTTAGAAGCGATAATTAGATGATTGAAAAGGTCAAATACCACTTTACTTGGATACTTATTTTTTGGTCAAAAAAACAATTCCTTTGGATTATGTCCCAAAGTCTCAAGGACAGCCCACCTTTGATTCCCTCCCATGTGCACACCACATTTGATGATTAGATGGAGTCACGTTGGTTTAATCACAATTTATTTAAGAACTTTAATTTATGTAATGTGGGTAACCTATATGCATCATACATAATTAAGAATAGGATATAATTTTCGGATTTGAAATATTCAAGGTAAAGTGGTTTAATTATTTTTAATATTTTATAGTTTTATTTAAGACTAAAAGTAAAAGAAAAAGGAAAACAATTGAGAAAAAAATCAATTTGTTAGAGTGTGGAGTGATTTCAAGACATTATTTGTTTAGAATCCTTTTTGTCATTGATAATGCCAAGCACGCTTTATAAATACAATCATTTAAACCCGAGTCTTTTAGAGATAACAAGATTCATTTTTACCACTAAGATCACTCAATGGCTATCAAACTTTCTCTCACCTGAGGGGGAACTTTTAGAAAAAAAAGATTGATATCTCTAATTTTCTTTTGATCTATTTCCTATGACAATTCGTCTAGAAGTCTTTATTTCCGAAATATGACTTTCTATTAACATTAAAAAAGATGAATTATGATCGATCGATCATCCCCACATTTTCAATCCATTTAATCACCTTTAATGACCACCTCCCATGTGCTACATAAACATACATATATGATATATGTCCTTCCAACATAATTATTCTAATGCAACATTTAAACAAATAAAAGTACTTGGAAAATGATATAAATGAAACTTAATTATAAAATATAGTTGGACTATTAAACTCAAGCCCAAGTGCGCATGTGTCACAAATACCCATCTTTCGATGTAAATAAGATAGAGACCCACGAGAAAAACCCTAGCCATGCCTTATTTTGGCTTAATACCGAGATTGACCCTGTATTTTTAGGATAATTCTTACTTTGAATTTTTATTATTTTTTATCGATTTGATCTTTCAAATTTTATTTTATCAAAAATAGTTAAAAATACTATGTGATTCAATCAAATTTTCCTACATAATATTTTTATTAAAAAATCATAAAAATGTAAAAATATCTAAAAAAATTATCAAAAAATCAATATTTATGTTTTGAAATTATATTTTAAAAATGTAATTATTCTTAATTTATGGATAAAATTTTAAAAATATTTAAAATCTAAAATATAAATGTATAAAATATTTTGGGTTATTTTTATTTAAATTTTATATTTTTAAATAATTTCTTAATGATTTTTTAATTTCATTTTCTAGATTTTTTATTTTTTATTTTCCACATGGCAAAACCGATTAAGGCACTTCATTCTTAGAGACTCAAATGATAAAATAAATAAAGGTCTAAACTCATAAAATAATAATAAAACAGATCAATGGAAAAATGTCACTAAAATACATGGGTTAAAGTAGGTTTGAAGCCTTTGTGTTTTTTTTAATCATATTGAGAGAGAAATAACAACTTTACTGATACTTCTATAGAATTCTTCAAAATTATTACATCAATAATAATATCAACTAAACTCGGATCTAACTAATTGTATATCTACGAATAATATATTCATTTAAAGGGAAAAAGAAATAATAATACACTTTGTTGAAAAGAAGCAAAATCAAGAATTGGTTACGATTCATATAGCACGTTGCTTTGTTGAGCCATAGACTATTAAAAGTTATAAAATAGTTTTTAAATTATATAGGGTTGCATTGTTGATTTTCTCAACTATTAATAGTTACAAAATTGTCTCCAAGTTATACGGTGTTGTTTTGTTGAGTACTATACTATTAAAAGTTCTAAAATAGTCTTCAAATTATATAGTGTTGCATTGTTGATTCTCCCAACTATTAATAGTTACAAAATAGTCTCCAAATTATATGGTATTGTTTTGTTGAGTCACCGACTATTAAAAATTATAAAATAATCTCTAAATTATAGGGTGATGCTTTATTGAGTCCCACGACTATTGAAAGTTACAAAATGGTCACTTAGCTATTCATATGTCTAAACTCATCATTTTCTGTTAAAAATGGGTAAAATACGCGTTTAGAACCTAAGCTATCAATTTTGATATGTTTTAATACCTAAACTTTCATTTTTTCCAAAACCATACCTAACGTTTAGTTTTTGTTTCATTTTAGTATCCCGACGTTAAAGACTTGACGAGCGGGCTGACGTGGCATAGCTCCAGTGGATGGACGACCAAACTGAATAGTGGACCACGAGAGAATGGAAAATCTACCAACATAGTCCAGTTTCAGGTCCATCGAACAGTGAACCATGGAGATCGAATAATGAAGAAATCAAAGAGCCCATCGTCGATTTTGGGAGATTGAGGTGTTTCTCGGTGAAACGGACACCGAAATCGCGTTAAGGAGGTCGAAAAGGTGTTGGCTAGAAAGTTTGGGCTTCATCGACCGACAGATGAAGAAATCGAATAGTCCATCGTCTATTTGGGGAGATTGAGGTGTTTCTCGGTGAAATGAAGACGAAAATCGCTTTAAGGGGTCAAAAAGGTGCGGGCTAGAAAGTTTGGGCTTTATCGAGTGAAGGATGCGACGACTGTAGATGCGGCAATCGGCGAGCCCG